GACAACAATGTCCAGGCCTGTTGGCTCACAGCTGTAATCCTAGCACTTTGGGAGGCCAAGGCAGGTGGAGAGCTTGAACCCAGGTGTTCGAGACCAGCAAAAACTCATCTCTACAAAAAATTTTTTTAAAAAAACTAGCCAGGCATGATGGTACACATCTGTATGTAATCCCACCTACTCAGGAGACTGAGGCAGGAAGATCACCTGAGCCCAGGAGGTTGAAGCTGCAGTGAGCCATGATCATGCAATGGACTCCACCCTGGCACCCTGGGAGACAGGGTAAGACTGTCTCAAAAAAATAAAAAGACAACAATAAAGCAATGAAGTTTCCTGCATCAACTGACTCTTCCTTTTACAAAAAAACATTTCCTGTAGATGCAATCCTATTTGGTAGCATTTTACCCCCAGTAGAACTTCTTTCAAAATTGGAGTCGATACTGTCAAACCCTGCCACTGCTTTATCAACTAAGTTTATGTAATGTACTCTAAATCCTTTGCTGTCATTTCAAAAATGTTAACAGCGTCTTTACCAGGAGTAGACTGCATCTCAAGAAACTACTTTCTTTGCTCATCCCTAAGAATAAGTCTTCATTGTTTTAAATTTTATCATGAGATTGCAGGAACTCAGTCACATCTTCGGGCTCCACTTCTAATTTGAGCTCTCTTGCTATTTCCACCACATCTGCAGTTATTTCCTCCACTGAAGTCTTGAACCCCTCGAAGTTATCTATGAAGGTTGGAATCAGCTTCTTCCAAATTCCTGTTAATGTTGATATTTTGACTACCTCCCATGAATCACAAATATTCTTAACAGTTATCTAGAATTAGAATCCTTTCCAGAAAGTTTTCAATTGACTTTGCCCAAATGAATCAAAAGAATCACTATCTATGGCAGCCATAGCCTTACAAAATGTATTTCTTAAATAGTAAGACTTGAAAGTCAAAATTACTCCTTGAGCCATGGGCTGCGGAATAGACATTGTGTTAACAAGCATGAAACAACATAAATCTCCTTGTACATCTCCGTCAGAACTCTTTGATGCACTAATATTATGAAAGGAATATTTTCTTCATGAGCAGGTCTCAACAGTGGGCTTAAAATATTCAGTAAAACATGCTGTAAACAGGTCCGCCATCATCCAGGCTTTGCTGTTCCATTTATAGAACACAAACAAAGTACATTTAGCATAATTCTCAAAGGCAATGTAATTTTAAGAATGGTAAATAGGCACTGACTTCAATTTAAAGTTCCAGTTACATTAGCCCTCACAAAGGAGTCACCCTGTCTTCTGATGCTTTAAAGTCAGGCATTGACCTCTCTGCAGCTGTGAAAGTCCCAGATAGTATCTTATTCCAATAGAAAGCTATTTCATCTACACTGAAAATCTTGTTTAGTATAGCCAACTTCATCAATTATCTTAGCTAGATCTTTTCTGGATAACAACAGCATTTGTTGCTTTACTTTGCACTTTCATGTTATGAAAATGCCTTCTTAAACCTCATAAATGAACCTCTAATAGTTTCAGACTTTGCTTTGGCAGCTTTTTCACCTCTCTCAGCATTGACAGAACTGAAGAGTTAGAGCCTTGCTCTAAATTAGGCTCCTGCTTAAGGGAATATTGTGGCTGGTTTGCTCTATATAGACCACTCAAAGCTTCTCCATATCAGCAATAAAGCTGCTTTGCTTTCTTAACATTTATGTGTTTACTGAAGTAGCACTTTCAATTTCATTGAAGAACTTTTCCTTTTCATTCACCACTTGGCTAACTGGTGCAAGAGGCCTAGCTTTCAGCCTATATTGCCTTTCGACGTGTCTTCCTAAAATCATTTCTAGGCCAGACATGGTGTATCATGCCTGTAATCCCAGCACTTTGGGAGGCTGAGGCAGACAGATCGCAAGGTCAAGGGATTGAGACCATCCTGACCGACATGGTGAAACTCCATCTCTACTAAAACTACAAAAATTAGCTGGGCATGGTGGTGCACATCTGTAATCCTAGCTACTTAGGAGGCTGAGGCAGGAGAATCCCTTGAACCCAGGAGGTGGAGGTTGCAGTGAGCCGAGATCACGCCACTGCACTCCAGCCTGGAAACAGAGTGAGACTCCATCTAAAAAAAAACAAACAAAAAGAAATCATTTCTAGCTTTTGATTTAAAATGAGAGATGTGTAACTCTTCCTTTCACTTGAACACTTAGAGGGCACTGTGGCATTAACTGGCCTAATTTCAATATTGTCGTGTCTCAGGAAATGGGGAAACCCAAGGAGAACAAGAGCGACAGGATTAGCCAGTTGGTGGTACCGCACTCAAAATACAAATTTCTTATGTTCACCATCTCATATGGGCATGGTTCATGGCACCCCAAAATGATTATGATTGTTAACACCAAAAATCATCGATTACAGATCACCATAACAGACATAGTAATAATAAAAAAGTTTGAAATATTTCATTTTTTTCTTTTTCCCACTGTCCTTCTGAAATATTTCAAGAATTACCAAAGTGTAGCACAGAGACACTAAATACACACATGCTACTGTACAAATGGCACTGAAAGACTTACTTGACACAGGGTTACCGTGCACTTGCAATGTACAAAAACCCAGTATCTATGAAGCGCAATAAAGTGAAGCACAATAAAATTATTACTGTAATAACCAAAAGGAAGGTGAGAAAAAAAGTGAGGGTGGCTGTGAGGTCATTCACATGGCAGAATTTGGAGAGGTAAGAAAATTGTTAGTCACATGTCTGAGTTCTTAATGAATACGAGAAAGTACCAATAAATCACAGCAATCAAGAAATATATAGGCTGATATTAGGTGAACCACATGCTTTCCACAGGAACTGAGAGTTTTTTTGTAAACCTGGAGGAGTAATGGATTATACACTATGCCTGGGAATAAGGACAATGCAAACTCTCTCCCCAGGACAATCACAATAGAGGAGAACAAGTTTCCCATGTTTGGAGATGACTGTAAGTATCATAGGGGAAGATGGCTGAAAATGGAAGTGTGGATACTATGGAACAGAAGTTAGAAGGCACACAGTGAGGACAACCTGAGAAGATACAGATCATCAGGAAGGACTCACAAGATATCAGTATAAGACAAGATAAAAGTCTTGTATTTATAATTATCCCTAATAATAACAAGAATGATGACTATGTTTTCTGGCTTCAAGATTCCAAATTAAACTTTATTTCTTTATTCATAATCTGAGCACTGTGAGGATCCTACTAATATGAAAGGAAACCCAGTGTATTTACTGGAGGCAAATTATAATAAAAATCACTGATCAAGGGAAAAAAAGTAAAAAAAAAAAAATCATTGATCAGATCTGTATAGTATATGAGGGGCTGTGATAGGGTGGGGAGGAAAGGAGAAACAGACCCACGCATTTTTAAAACTTAGTAAGTCATTCAGACTAGGATTACCCTCCCCATCTTTCAACCCTAACCACTGTTATAAATGCTGGGAACAAGTATAGGTTAAGGCCCAAGATGGTGGTTATCAACCATATGTGAAAAAAACCACACACACTGTTGCCTCAGGTGTTTGAGCCATTCTCTTCCACAGAACCCTTGAGATCTTCTAGAGATCAGAGGCTGCAGAGGACAGGACAGAATGAGGTTATGAGGGTGTGGGAGGGCTGATGGCACTAGAAATTCAACAAGTTTAACCTGAAAGAAGGGGACAAAATTACATTCCTCTTAGAAAAAAAGAGAAGAGTTAATATTGAGTGGAACATACAGGCAAGTTCAGGGATGGAGGGAAAGAAAAATGAGGAATTTCGTGTCCCAAGCTTCCCATTTCTCCAGGAAACAAAGGCTAGTCATCTGCTCAAAATAAAAGGAAAATAACAGATCTGAGTTCTTCAGAAAAATGGGAAAGATCTAAATTAGTCAATGTGGAGATAAGAAAAAGCAACAAGAAATAAACAGAAACACCAAACTGTAGTATCAAGGGCCCACTAGGGTGTAAAAGCATGACTCTGTTATCAAGGCCATTAGCAAAGTTTTATATTTTTTTCAAAAGTGTCTGGAAACCACAAGAGTACAGTCAATTTCAAGACACGGTGCTACAAGAGTAAACAAAGGATCCCATGGCATAGGAGAAGGGACACTTGAGGCTTCCTGGGGGACTAAAGCGTTGAAGAATAAAACCTAGCTAGGCTTAAAAAGGTGTGTGAATCCTAGAACATATACAAAACACTTTTTGCAAGGAAAAATTTAACACTCTGTTGATTCAGATATCTTAAGTCGTAAGAGTTTATTGTTCCTCTATGACTATCTCAACATGAAATTAAAACTTCTTATGAAGGAGGCTTTCCTGAGTCTAGTTAGAAGCAAGAAGTGTCAACATCCTAGATTTAACATTTTTTCACCAGAATAAGAAACCATGTAGGTAAACCACAATCACATCAGTTTTATGTTAAACTCATGAAACCAGACAAATTCAACCTTTTATACAGGATTCTATTTCATGAATGGCAGAACAATTCTAAACCACAACACTGTATTCTGAATTCCTGTACTGATAATCCCTATAGCAGGAGCTCAGTAACTGTTGATGGACTGACATTTTACCCAGCCGCCAGAGAGGGCTGGTCTTGACTGTGTCTGAGGGTGCAGCACCCAAAGGGAAAAACCGCTACATGAACAAGGTCAGAAGGAAATCACAACAGCATCCTTCTGGGTGAAAGGAAGTATTCGGAGGTGAGGAATCAAAGAAACGATCTACCCAAAAACGCCATCCCAAGAGAAAAACCAGCATTAGCGACTTTCCCTTCATTGGTCAACAATAATAAAAATGATCAGAAAGGCTGCCGCGGAAGTCACCTGCGCGTGCAAAGCCCGCTCGCGGCCGGAGTCACCTCTCCAGCGGGGGGCGGCCGGCTCCGTCCCGCCCCTCCCACCGCGCAGGGAAGGTCGCGGCCGCGCCGCCCCGCGAAGGTGCCACAGCGGGCCCAACCCCCAGGCTTGCTTGTCCCTGGAGACCAACCCTAGTGTCCAGGCTCTGCCGGATCCTGTCGGGTTTCAACTCCTATTTCCGAAGGTCCTTTCTCCCCTAACCGCGGCACCCACTCGCCTCGTTTTCCTCCACTTCCTCAGCTTCCACCGCCGACCGGGCAGCCCCAGTTACCTGATAATGCCTCCCAAGGCCCCGTGTTTACATTCCTACCCACTGGAAGCGGAAATTATCACGCCCAACTTCCTACCTGCCTGCTCTGGATGCCTGGTTTCCTAAAACGGATTTGGCCCACCGCGGGGAGTGCGAGGAGTCCGCGGAATCGGGCAAAGGAAAGACGACTCTTAGTCTTTCTCCTCCGCCAATCCCCTCTCCGGGATCACAAATCCCAGAAGTCACCACGGCCGCTCCCACCGCATGGCCTTCTGGGATTTGTAGTAGTACCTCTAGCAGCAGGCCTGAGTGATCGCAGCGCCGGAGCGCGGGAAAATGAGGCTGCTCCGGCTGAGGAGCGCACTGAGAGGGGCCGCCCCCGCGGTACTCTGCTGCGTCGCGTCCAGTCAGTGGGGAACAAGATGAGAGGAAAACGATTGGGGATTCAAAGCATTAGGATACGCTTCTGCCGCAAAGTGGTTTATAGCATAGCTGAAGAGGTTGGCCAGACGTAGCAAGGCCAAACTCAATTAGACAGGGCTGGAGGCGGCGGGGCAGGGGAAGCTAGTCAGGGAGGCTGGAAGTTGAACCGCAAGCTTCACGTGGGAAGTAACAAGTGAGTTGGACTGAAAAGGCAGAATTACCGCCTGAACGTAGCTGTGGGTCATGTCTTGAAAATAAATGAGCACATGTAGCAAAGGTAAGCAAGACTGTTAATTTATCCAACTCTTGCCCAAAAGAAGACCCATTTTTGTAAAGCCATGCTTTCTCAGCCTCAACGCCGTTAACATTTCAAACGGGATAATGCTTTCTTGGGGGATGGGCTGTCCTGTGCATTGTAGGGTGCTTAGCAGTATCTCGTCTCTGACCACGGGATGTCACAACCATAGCTGTGACAGCCAATGGTTTCCCCAGTGAAATTTCCCCTGGAAGAAAAGACATCCCCGGCACCCTGCCCCGTTGAGAACCATTGTTGTCGACCAACGACGGTCCTGAGGGTCACTGACACCCTTTAAAAGCCAAAATTATTTTCATACTAATAGGAACATGTGATTTGCCCTCTGCACAATGCTGATGTTTGCACTGATGGTGGAAAAAGGTGCTGGCACCTCCGCAGGAATTACAGTAATCACACCAAATCGTACTGGGAGCCCTTTTTCATCACCACACCCCCACAGTAAGAAAAATAGGCCGGGTGCAGTGGCTCACGCCTGTAATCCTAACACTTTGGGAAGCCGAGGTTCCAGACCAGTCTGGCCAACATGGTGAAACCCCATCTCTACTAAAATATAGAAAAATTAGCCGGGCGTGATGGCACGTGCACCTGTAATCCCAGCTACTCAGGAGGCTGAGGCAAGAGAATCACTCGAACCCGGGAGGCGGAGGTTGCAGTGAGCGGAGATTGCGCCACCACACTCCAGCCTGGACGACAGCTAGAGGCACACTCTCAAAAAAAAAAGGACAAATGAATGCTGTCACCAGAGAATATCCCTGATGAAGTTTTAAAAGTTAATTTATTATAACCACCCTGACACTTAATAATCTTTGTAAAAACTTGGAAGTCCTCACGAAGCACTTCTGCTGCATACTGAAGTGTAGGACATATCAAAGAACAGCTATTGTGAGATGGCAGTATAAACTGAAGTAGATACTTTCTTCCTGAAACACAAATTTTACTAAGATGAATAACACACTGGTTAATTCAGACTTGGGTATTTGACAAGCCTTTCTTCAAAAGGAACAAAGGGAACTTGGAACTTCAAGAAAAACAGAAAAGAGAGAGAAAGAGGGAGGGTCGGAAAAAGAAAGCAATTGACAATGTTGCCAGTGACAAAATTCAAGATTTGGGGCAAAAAAAATAAATGATTTTGGAAGAAATGGTATTCACCATAATAATCTTGGCAGCTTCCAATTATCTCCAGAATTTTCTGTTATCAGTGGAGAGATTATCTATTGTGACTTTTATTTACATTGTTTGCTTAAATACATCAATATTTGTGCAGGCTGCATAAGTGAACCAGTAGTATTTGAAAACAATCAATGCATGACTGCAGTAGCCAGCCTCCAAGATGGCATTCACTCCTGGCATTCACATCCGTATGCACTGCCTTCCTACACTGTACCAGGTTTGGTCTGTGTTACCTACAGAAGAGGGCAGATGTGACAGTCTATCATTTCTGATATTAATTATAAGACACTTAAGTTGGTGGCAGTGTTTCTTAATCTGTCTAGAGGTTTACGTGGCTATGTTCCCTGTATACCTGAAACACTGAAAATTAAGCCAAATACTTATTTGTGCACTTTTCTGTACATATCTCTATAAAAGTCTTAAAAAAAGAAAACATGTACCTCCCTAACAAGATGCCCAGAGCAGGATTTATCTTATGGTCACTTGCATATGCCATTAGTTCATAGTAGCCATAAGAAATAGAGGATTCAAGATGGCGTGGTAAGAACAACTCAGGATCGCAGTTCTCAGTGAACGCTCAGAGGGTAAGTCAAAGCCGCGTTTCCAGACGGATCTTTGTTGCCCACTGAACAGGGAAATTCCCAGGTGTAGGAAAGATACGGGAAGCAAGTGCAGCCGTTTTGGCTGTTGCGGCCACTTCGACCGGCGCCGCAGCGCAGCGGCACTCCGTGACAATCCACACAAAACACACTGGCCCGGGTGCCCTGCTAAACCAGCGATCTGAGATTTGGGAGGGCAGATTAGCATATCCATCTGATTAAACAGGACTTGGACAGTGAGCCAGACCAGGAGATTCCTGGGAAGTGGCGTTTGAGCCAGCGCTGAGGCTCGCTGCACGGGAAATCACACAGATCCCGGTGCCTTAACAAAAAAAAAAAAGAAAGGCGCTCTGAGGCAGGGAGCCAGGAGAGCAGGCTCGGTGGGTTTCACCCCCACAGGGACAAACAAAACGGCAATTCGAAATGCTCCGGGTGGAGAGTTTCACTGCGGGCATAGCTGAACCCAGGACGGTGCAGTTCGGTGGGGGAGGGGCGTTCACCATTACCGAGGCAATCCGCCCCTACTGAGGTACACTCCCATTGCTGACACAGCCTGCCATTGCCGAGGCAACCCGCCATAACAGAGAGACTCCGCTGCAGGGCGGAGCCCGTGGCAGCAGGGCAGAGCCCGCAGCGGACCCCACATCAGCAGAGCGGATCCTTGGCAGGCAAATAGTGACTAGACTGCCTCCTAGCTGGGCAGGATAGTGCAACGGACACTTATAAAGAAAGCCCCAACTCCCCGAGACAGAGCATCTGAGGAAAAGAAGGGGGTTTTAAGAGTTCTGCTGCAGCAGACATAATGTAGCAGCCTATCAGCCCTGAATGAACAATGGAGCTCACAGCTCAGCACTTGAGCTCCTATAAAGTACAGACCATCTCCTCAAGCAGCTCCCTGACCCCTGTATATCCAGAGTCACCTCAAAAAGGATCGATCAGACTGACATTAGGTGGGCCTCATTCTGGGACAAAGATAGCAGAAGAAGAAACTGGTAGCATCCCTCACTGTCCTGCAGCTGCTACAGGTGTACCCCAGACAAGCAGGGCCTGGAGGGGACCTCAGCAGTCGTACAGCGGAGGGGCTAGACTGGTAGAAGGAAAACCAACAGAAATACCTCATCATCAACAATCTAGGCATCCACTCAGAGACCCAATCGAAAAGTCAGCAACTAATCAGACGACAGGTGGATAAATCCACAAAGATGGGAAGAAACCAGCGGAAAAAGGAGGAAAACACCCGAAACTAGAACACCTCACCGCCTACAAAGGAACAAAACTCCTCACCAGCGACGAACAAAGCTGGACGGAGTATGACTGTGACGAAATGATGAAATCAGACTTCAGAAGGTGGGTAATGAGAACTTCAGTGAGCTAAAAGAACATGTTCTAAATCAATTCAAAGAAACTAAGAACCTTGAAAAAAAAGATTCGAGGAAATGATAACAAGAATGGATAACACAGAGAGGAATATGAATGAATTGAAGGAGCTGAAAAACACAACACGAGAACTTCACGAAGCATGCAGAAGTTTCAACAGCCGAATTGACCAAGCAGAAGAAAGAATATCAGAAGTCGAAAATCAACTCAATGAAATAAAACAAGAAACCAAGATTAGAGAAAAAAACACAAAAAGGAATGAACAAAGTCTCCAAGAAATATGGGATTATATGAAGAGACCTAACCTACGTTTGATAGGTGTACCAGAAGGGGACGAAGAGAATGAATCCAAGCTGGAAAATACTCTTCAGGATATTATCCAGGAAAATTTCCCCAACCTAGCAAGGTAGGCCAACACTCAAATCTGGGAAATACAGAGAACACCACAAAGATACTCCACAAGAAGAGCAACCCCAAGGCACATAATCATCAGATTGACCAGGGTTGAAATGAAGGAGAAAATACTAAGGGCAGCCAGAGAGAAAGGTCGGGTAACCCACAAAGGGAAGCCCATCAGACTCACAGCAGATCTCTTGGCAGAAACGCTACAAGCAAGAAGAGAGTGGGGGCCAATATTCAACATCCTTAAAGAAAAGAACTTTCAACCCACAATTACATATCCAGCCAAACTGAGCTTCATAAGTGAAGGAAAAATAAAATTCTTTGCGAACAAGCAAGTACTCAGAGATTTTGTCACCACCCAGACTGCTTTATAAGAGCTCCTGAAAGAGGCACTACACATAGAAAGGAACAACCAGTACCAGCCATTCCAAAAACACACTAAATGCTAAAGAGCATCAACAAAATGAAGAATCTTAATCAAATAACGAGCAAAACAGCCAGCTAGCATCAAAATGGCAGTATCAAATTCACACATAAAAATATTAAACCTAAATGTAAATGGGCTAAATGCACCAATCAAAAGACACAGACTGGCAAATTGGATAAAAAATCAAAACACATCAGTGTGCTGTATCCAGGAAACCCATCTCACATGCAAGGATACACAAAGGCTCAAAATAAAGGGATGGAGGAAGATTTACCAAGCAAATGGAGAGCAAAAAAAAAAAGCAGGATTTGCAATTCTCATCTCTGATAAAATAGATTTTAAAGCAACAAAGATCAAAAGAGACAAAGAAGGTCATTACATAATGGTAAAAGGATCGATACAACAAGAAG